ATTGAAGAGTGATCTAGAAAAATCCATCTGAGTCCACAAACCTCAGTCCTTGCAAGAAGCTGTGCATATTGCAAGACTCCAAGAAGAAATTCTTAAAGAATGGGAAAAGAAGATGCAACAAAGAAAAACTAGCAGTCTTGAAACACAAACAAGATACACAAGATCGTGGTCAGGACCAGGAAAAAGGTGACAGCTCAACCTCTCTTCACTAAAATAGCCATATCTAGAGTTCTAAAACTCCTTTTTGAGTGATTTCAGCGCCATTGGAAAGCTAACATCCAAGGCTACAACTTTCATGAAGACTACAACGTCCAATTCTGAAAGCACCAAGGCGCTCAGCGCGTACAAAGCGCTCAGCGCATACAAAGCGCTCAGCGCTTTAGCTCCAGGGATTCTCCTCTAGCTCTCTACCCCAAAAGCGCTCAGCGCCCTAAAATGGCTCAGCCATTTTGTCCCAGGTGGCTCTCTGCCCCCAAAGCGCTCAGCGCCTTAGAACGGCTCAGCCGTTTGTGACAGCAAACACAAACCCTCCTCCATTTTTGAACAACAACCTGCAACAATCCAACAGCCCAAACACATGCAAACCCTCCAAAGAACTATACTTTCGTCAATCAACACAAAAACCCCTTCTTTTTCAACATGCAACCACGAATCATCAAAAATCCCAAATTTTTGATCAAAACCCCGAAACCCCGAAAACCCCATGTCCTTCAATCTCAGCTCAAAATCATCAAACATCAAACAATCAAAGAGTTCCTAGAATTCGTTTTCAGCCAAACAAGTCAAAGGACTAGCTTCCCTTACCTTGGTGAAGAAATTCGAGCTTCGGAAGGAAGAGCAACGAGAGGAAGTGGAAGAAAGGCTTGTATATCGAAGGAGAAGAAGGAACTTCTACTACTCAGCTAGCCAAACCTCAAATCTGCCCCACACCACCACCTTCAATGGCCAAACGAAAATCCAAGGGAAGAGAATGAGAGTTGAGAGTGAAAAAGAGTTTGAGTGAATAAAAGAGGGAAGGGAGAAAAAAATGAGTTAGGGGTCTCACATAATATGTTTCAAAACAGCCCCATTTTAGTATTTTGTTTGTAAAACTGCATTATAATGGTCGTTTAGCCTATAATATTATTAAATTAATCTTTTTAACTTCTATAATTTAATATAAATCTTTTTAATTATTATACTTATTTTGAATTTTTTTAATTATTATTATTATTCTTTATTATAATATTGTCTCTTTTATATCAAAGTAATATATATAGTAATTTATGTTTAATATTAAATTTATTTTATCAAAATTACTTTAAATTAGATTCATCAATGTTTTGGACCTATTTATCATTCTTACATATGACAATGTTAAGACACATTTTATATCTCTTAAAATTAAATACTTTTACTATATCAATAAAAAAATATGATGTTATAAAAAAATATGATGTTACAAAAAAAATGAAACTATAAATTTTTTAAAAATAAATATAAAAAATAAAAAAAATATATATATATATATATATATATATAATTATGAGACTAACAAGATTAATGAAAATAAATATTAAAAATATTTATTTTAAATTATAGAGATTAAAAAATAATGAAAATGAAACTACTAAAACTAAAATAAAATCAAGAACATTTCGATATTTTTTGTTTGGCAACATCAACATTTTAGCTTAAAATTCGGAAAGATTTGGATAAATTGCATGAGATTGCAGGTTTTATTGTCATTGCAATCATTATTTTTTAAAAAAACATTCAATTTAAGTACACTAATTGTGACGTTGTTACTCATTCGTATATAAACTTATAAAGTGAACTTTATGCATTTTGTTAATAAATGTTAGTAATCTTCCCTAATTAATTTTTTTATTGGCGTGCTTAGCGTTAAAGTTAAATTATATATTACATTTTGTTAATAAATGTTCATTGGTTTTATTAATACATGTATCGAGGATAATGGCTACAAATTTAATTAAAATAATAAAAATAAAGATTAATTAAAGTCTCATTAACAATATTGTTAATAGGATTTTTATTTTCTAAACTAAAAAGGGACTGCATAGCGTTTTTAACAAATTGAATGACTAAATTATATTTTTATTTTATTTTATTTTTAATTCATTTGGTTTTTTATTTGTCAAAATGTTTTCATTTTAGTCATTTATCTTTCATACTTTGATCAATTTGATTCTTTTAAAAAGATGATTATTTCAATTTTGTGACATAATTTTAAATATTTTTTTATTAATTCAAGAAGTAAAACTAATAACATTATATTCATTTATATATATATATATATATGAAATTTAATTAACATTCAAATTTAAAAAAACTAAAATTATAGTAAAATTTACATGAAAAGTATATATGAGTAATTAAAAATAATATAAAATTTAATTTTTAATTTTTAATTTTTTGAACTTATATTTATATAATTTTCTTCATATTTATAAAAAAAAATTATTTAAATTTTAGTTGCGTTCAGTTATTTTTATATAAATAAATCTAATAAAATAAATTTTAAATATTTTTTATAATTTATCTTTCATACAACGAAATTGATAGTTACTTTTGGGCATTAAAAAAAAAATAAAAAAACTTACCTTTTCATTATTATGTTACCCCGTTCCCTCTTATTATTTTATGTATTTTTTAATCTCTATTAGTTATAAAAAAATAAAATAAAAATAAGTTGTGCTCAAAACATTGGTCGTAAAGAAATTGTCATAATCGTATCTAGGACTACGAGTGCAATTTGCGAAAAGTGCGGTTGGTGATACGAAGTTGGTGTGTCGTATGTAATTGGAGACTAGGAAAGATAGAGTGAGATATTTGTTTTTGAGTCATGAAAATATTAAAGATATTTATTCTTGATTTGTAATTTTGTGCTTCTTCTGTTTTATAATATTAATATATATAAATATATAAAAATAATAATAATGGTTTTATAAAATTAATTTTACTATAATTTTTTTTTCCAAAAATAACATAACATAGACTTTCTGAATGATATTAGAAATATAAATAATAAAAAAATTAACACTATATAAAAAAAGTTAAAATAACATTTATTTAAAAAAAAAATGTTACACCACATTAGCGAAGGATTAATATTATTTATAGTTTGGACTTTGGAGTGAGGAATTGTCTCTTTTTAAATGGAGGCGGCGCTCCAAGGAATATCCGCATGCAAGCAAGACGGCTTGATTTGTTCCACTTAAACATCTCACTCAAACCCTTTCTTTTTCTAACAAAATTTAACACGTGTAATGCTATATCATATTTATTTTTTATATATAAATATTAAACACAATCACATTACAACAATTCACTCATGCCTCAATGTTTTTTTGAAATTTGAGTTTTGAATTCGATAAAAAAAAATAACGTTAAAATTCACAAGAAATAATTTTAATACCATGTAAAAACATCACTTACTCGTGCATTCTACTATATGTATTGAGTTAATCCCTTAATAAATAATTTAATAATACAGTGTTATTTTGTTTTCTACTTAGTAATTATAAGAATGATTTTTCTGATCACTAATCATAAATTATTATTAAAAATTAATGTAAAGTAAATTATTAATATTATAATACATTATAAATGTTTATTATTTTAAAATATTAAACATTCTTTTAATATGGATCAAGACGCTCGTTGACAAGATTAATAAAAGACTAATTGATTTAATTTTTTCAGAAATATTTAATGTCTTACCTCTTTTAAATGTTTTTAATACAAAAGCAATAATGATGTTTGCAAGAATTCGTATAAGTTAATCAAATTATTACTACTAAACGTATTTCAGTAGTTTACCTAAAGAAGAAAAAAAGGTATTGCTTTTGTATAACAAATGAGCATAAAAAAATTAAAAAAAAAATCAGTATTTTTTTTAAATAAACTTTTTCTTTTTTACCATTTACACCAGTACAGCCATATATAATGACGTTAATGATTTAAAATTGCAAAAATGCCAGTGAGCTTAGAACTTTTGTTAATATCAGAAAATAAAAATAATATTTATTTATTATCTCAACTAGCTAAAAAATAATAAATATTGAATTTTAAAATAGCAAAATATTTTATATTCGAATTCGATACATTCGATACTTGAACATCTTTGTCGCATATTTCAACGTCTATGTGGTTTGTGATTGAAGAAAGTTTGGGAGGATAACATCATCCTTTATTTTGCTGCTATAAAATTTAATCTGCTTTTTAAGCAGGGTTGGTGTTGGATCACCTTACGTGGAGCACAAGGGTCAATGAGACATTAAACAAAGCATTTATTTCAGGCCAATTTGCACAAAACGTTGGACTGCAGTGTGGTAAAAAATGATTTAAAAATGCTTATATTTCAAAAATGAATATTTAATTACCTGTCAGTACATTTTTTTACAGGCAGAAAAAAAAAATGCAAAGATCAGAATAAATTCTCATACATCTATTAGAAACTAATTAATACCTTAGGCATGTATCTCAAGAAGTCAAACCCCTCATCACTAAGATAACTTTAGTGGTGAGAGATGCTCATGCATCTCACTAGAGTTTAAAGTGCTATAAATAATAACATATAGAGAATGAAAATGACATGCATAAAAGAAAAATAAAAGGAGAAACTTTACTCAGTCCAATGATAGAAGTTTTTTTTTTAATAAAAATTCACGTTGGAATTTGAATCAATATAATAATTTTTTTATAAAGAACACAGTAGCTCCGACAGGATTTGTTTTCAATGAAAGATAGTTAGTTTGGTTTATACAAAAAACAACAATATGAATTCTTTATCGAAAATCAAATTGGAAACTGAATCAATGATAAAGAAAAAGAAAAAAAAGATTCGTTGGCATTTTGTAAAAAAGAATATTGTTAGTTTAAAAAAACTGTTAAAAAAATCACAATGTCAGTTCTGTTCAATCCTTTAATCTGATTCTTATTTTCAAGATATTTTGGCTAACTGAAAGCTACATGGATGATAAAGTAGAGCATTGTGGTAAACAGAAAATGAATAAAAATTGTATCTATGCCATCGTTTCCATTATTTTGTTCAATGGGAACAAGAGAAATACAGACTCAAATAGACGAAGTATGTTCTGTTCACTTTGAACATAAACAGAAAGGGAAAATAACACAAGTAGAATCACAAATACGAAAAAACAACACATCAGAGGATTTCATAATCCTCGAGAAACAATATAAGTGCAACCCAAGTTGCTGACATGTGGCATTCTTAACCAAAGGGGACCCCAATTATGAAAGTCAAATGTATGATCATAATGTTAGTGGCGGCTATACATGGCCTGCTACAATGGGTTCTCCAGAAGAAAACGTGCTGGTTCACATTTTGCAGTATAGCTAAATTTAGATGAGCAGTACTTCCTATGTACCCCAGTAAGTTTTCCATTCCCAGCCTTCATATGAATATCAACCATTAGTGTAGAGCACTCTCTGAAAGTCATAATTAACCACACGTTATTAGTATTTTAGCATGTCAAACTATTGGATAATTGGAACATGAAAAGCTAAACTTACAATAGCTGTTCTTCTGAGTAATTGGAGTGCCATTCACATGTTTTAGTCCATTGTTTGACACCATACATGGTGCATTGAGCTGTATAGACAGCAGCTGCTGCTAGCAGAGATGGAGGGAATTTCAGCATATCATATTCCACTAGACATAGCTCTACTAAGAAGAAAGCCAATAGCTCAAGCTGTTCCATGGTGAAGAATAGACGAAACAAGTTAGTAATTATGACATGCGGAGTACTCACAATACTTAACCAAGTTAGTAATTCTAACTCGAGAAGTGTTATTAATATACTCTTTAACACACTATTCTTACCGCACACTTAACCATTGAATAAGATTTATCAAACTATAAAATTACTAGACTTATCAAACAAGAAGTAGAACCCAATTTTATTTTATTTTTTGTCAAGTTACCCTAGAACAGACAAGTTGGTAATTAAGGCAAGAGGAGTACCATCAATACTTAACAAAGTATTATGGCTCAAGAAGCAATAGCAATACAATCTTATTTGTACTACTCTTAGCAAACAGTCAACTATTGAATGTAATTTATTAAAAACTAAAAATCATGAGACTTATCAAACAAGGTGTTGAAAAATAAAGTCAATATATATTACTAGCATGCATTGTTATGACATTGCTGGTTATGATTTAAAAAAGACATGGAAATATTTGGCAGAAATATGAGTACTGACCTTTTTGTCTGCTTGAGCTGCCTTTAGGAATCTTTTAATAAAAACATATACTGTAGGCACAGACATGTTAAACTGCAATGTGTTGACCATCAACTTCTCCTGCAGGGTTTTACACAATGGATTCCAGTTACTTCTCATGTTGAGTGTGGATTCACAAATGCAAGTTAAAGGGGTCATTTAAGGCAAACAAATGCTACCATTTCCAGAACTTCTTTCCTTGTGTATGCTTTGTCTGATATGAGAATTAGATCCCCCACCACAGGTACCGAAACTTCTTCATACTTGCATGCCAAAAGCATGGCAACTAGACCAACCAACTGAAGCTTCTTCCTTACCACTGACTGCTTTGCCAAAAATCTATCTATGAGATTAACCGTGAGAAACAATGTCTCGTGCATGAGGTCAAATTTGTCGTGCACCTGAAGGATCAAACAAAAGCATATCACATTGTGAGATTGGAAACATAATCATTGATTGATCCATAAGGCCAACTACTGAAAACATAATCATTGATTTGGGAGGGAACATTTAATATACCTCAATAAGCCAGTCAACAAGAATAGCTCTCATCCTTTCATTAATGTCAATTTGTTGTGTCATATAATTAGGTGAGACACAGCTAGTGCCCTGCAATGTAGAAAGCACAGTTAGTTATCAAAATTTGATAGAAAGGCATTCTCATATTAGGGGCATTCTTATATCAATTTTGATTTCTGAAGTTATTATTTACGCTAATCCAATGTAGTGAATATTGTCTGCAACATATAATAGGGGGAAGCTAAATATCCGATTCATATAATTGGCTTTGCTAATTCAAACTACTGCATGCCTCTGAATGAGAAAATAGACTCTTGCTTTAGTAGAAAATGCAACTTTGGGGGAAAAATAGGACTTCAGATGAGGTACTCTAAGAAGTTCAATTGAAAAAAAAAATAGAATTCAGCCAGTATCCCTCGTTTATAAAAAGATTTCAAACAATCAGAGAATGTGTGCCAAATCCAAACTATTCATTCCAAATGTACCTCAGTTTTTTTGTAGTAAGCATAAAGATCTTCAATATAGTCCACAACTGCAAGAGGATTACTGGCATCACAGGTATCAATATCCAAAACAGTCTCTTCAAGTATATCTTCCATCTCAACTTCCTCCTAACAGGCCAATTATTGCACCATCACCAACTTAATCTTGAAATGGATTCGAGGGACAAACAAATAAAAGAGAAATTAAAGAAATACCATCTGATCTGATTCACTATGCATTGGTTCTGTCTGTTCCAAAGACATGGGCACTGGCTGGTCATCCGTTGGCATATTATGTTCATCATCAACAAATATACTCTCCCCAAATCCATTCGAATTTGAATTTCCCAAGTTTGACTTTTTGGTGTCCTGTTCAAATCGACCCCACAACTCAAATCTCAGTTTCAACTTTCAAATAGTCAAAGGATCTGCGCAAAGCATCAATCAAATTTCACCAAAGGAATGAAAGAGTCTACCTCAGCACGATTTTGCTGTGTGCTAGCAATTTGTGCAGCAAACCTCCTACAACAAGAGTAAATCAAGATGAAGAATCCAATTCATTGAAACTTCTAACATAAAGTTTTATTTTTTCGATTACGAAAAACAACGGGGGTATACAATATACATGTACACTGAAATGCACTTTAATTTCAAATTCAAATACTTTTTCTCACTTTTTTCACACATCCCCTAAATAAAAATCTAAATCACACAAAGGGTCACCTTGTGATGGGTCGATGCACCGGATCCGCTTGCTTCTTCTCACAAACATCGTGTTTTCTGCTCACCCCAACAAAGCAAAAACCACACCATCAAAACCAGAAACCAAAAAGACTAGAAATTTACAAGAAACAGAAGAAGGGCACGCATGATCCAAGAAAAAAAAAATTACTCTGCCAAGGCCCTCTTGTTAACAACACAAGGGTAAGGTCTCCCTTCTGCCACCAGACTCTGATTGATAACACTCAACGCCCTTCTGTTCTGCCCCATCTTTCTGTTTCCCACACAATCTATCCCTCCTATTATAATAATTCATCAAAAAAAAAACCCAAAAATAAATAAAAATATGATTTTTATTAAAATCTTCAAAATCTTGGTAGTAACATTGAAACTGAAACCTTGTCTTAATACCTTGAAAATTTGTGGGGTTGATTGGTTTGGAAGTGTTCTCATTTGAAATCACCATGGTTGAAGAACAAACAAACACAATCACACACTAACCCCACAACCACAACACTAGAAGAAGAAGAAGAAGGGCATGTAATGAAATAATATCGGAGGAAGTGAGAGAAGATAGGGTACACAAGCACCACTACACTAATTAACAGTGACACTACTATCACTCACTGAAGGGACTGAAACAATGGGGTATTTGTCTGGGGAGACCACTTTTCAAAACCCAACGGCTAGTCACTAGTGACCGTTGGATCGTTCGGGCTGGCACAAGCACAACCTATTACTTTATTTTTTTTCCTATTTCTACGTTGTCTCTCTGTCCTAAGTCCTATTAACGGTAATAATATGCGTCCCATGTGAAGAGGCGTGTCGCCGTAGATAACCCTTCACACTCGTTTTCAAATCACAATTACGAATTGCACTTTTTTTGGATCTTTAGTTTAAGGTAAATTATATTTTCTTTCTTATTGTTGCAGATGATTTTCTGGTTTGTGAAATATGTATGTTTATTCATTGCATAAATCTACAGGAATGTAAGATGTAACTGCTATCGAATAAAATAGGACAGAATTTATGTTCTCAAATTGTATAATGTTAAATGGATTTTATTTTTTAATATTTTCTTGCTTTAAATTGTTTACGTTTGAGAGAGAATTAAAATAACTTCCATTAGAGTATATGGCTAGATTGGAAAAAATATTTTATTAACAAGTAACTCAAGATTATTGAATAAGGAATATTTAATGTATTTTAATGAATATTTTAATTACTTTGAAAATTAAAAAAAAATAGTTTTAATGTAATAAATATTTAGATAATATGTGTTTTAAAAATCTCTCAAGAATAAGTCAAAGTTGATTTTAGAGTCTGTTTTTTTTTTTGTTCATCCCTGGAGTATCCACCGCCGGCAGGATTCGAACCCCTGACCTTGCTTAAGCGTGGATCAACCCTTACCGCTCAACCACACGCTTGAGATTATTTTAGAGTGTGTTTGGAACAACTTTAAAAATTAAATTATTTTAATAATTGATTATAGTTAGTATAATTATAATGAATTTTTTTGAATAAGTTTGTAATATATATATATATAATTTTGTTTCAATACTGCAAACAAATTTACTTTTACAAAGTATATCAATTTTAAGAGGAAAAAAGGTTGTTAGAAGACTTAAATTTTCAGATGCGTAAAAATATTTTTTTCAAGTTTTTATAAATTTCAACCATTGTCTTGATACATACAACTTACTTACAAACAACTTTTTTTTAAAAGAAAAACTGAAATTTGAGAAGGAAAAATGATGATTTTGGTTTCTAAAAAAACAACTTGGTCCCTATATTTTGAAAATGATGATTTTCGTCCTCATATTTTCTTAAATATGATAGATTTCGTTCATTGTTAAGTCAAAATGAAGTATATAGTTATGGATGAAAATTAAGACATCTTAAAAATACGAGAATTAAATCTACCATTTTTAAAATGTAAGGATTAAATCAATTTTGACCAAATTTTGAAAAAATTAAAATATATTTTGTCCTGTATTTTCAGAGAAATAAGATCTGATACAGACAAAATTTTAAAACTTCATAGGTGACAATTTTATTGAAAATTATAGTACGTTTTTAAATTTTAATAACCATTTACGTATGGTCATGTTGACATGTTGGCAGCACGAATATTTTTCATGCTAAAAAATAGCAAATTTAAAAACTAAAAAAACAATTTTGATGATTTTGTCATCCTTATTTTTTTATTTTTATTTTCACATATCTATTATTCTATACTATTAATAAAGAAGATTATCCCATTCATACACACATTTTTGGATTTTATCATTATAACTACCTCTCAAACTACTCTTTCTCTCTTCAATATTTTTTTTAAAAAAACTACTCTTACAAATAAACATTCTTCAAAATTTATTACTAATGACTCGCTTTTTTATTTAAAATTACACGCAAATACAATGTCTTTTTTATGCTAATATTTATATATAAAGACAATTATTCATACATATCATTAGAAATACTAACAACATTTTTTAATGTGATTTTTTTTATTGTTAATATTATTACACTACTAAAATGCAAAATTAATACTTTCAAATTTGATTCTTGTTCATATTAAAATAATAATGCAGCAAACACACGTTAATCTTTTGTTATTGATTTTGGAACATTGTGTAAACATGTATATGAATTAAAAAATAATGATAAATTAAATTAAAAAAAAACCGCTAAAACTTGCTTATGGATCCCGGTTTCTTACCTTTTTTGTGTAGAATAATACTTGCTTTAAAGAGTGACTTATTTATGTGAAACTTAATAATAATTTTTTAATAACCATTATTAAAAGTATTTAAAAAAATCTATTACTAACATTAATATAATTTAATATGTTAAGAGAGAAAAAAAAATAAAGAAAGGGGACAAAAACTGAATTTTTTTCTGGAATAATATTTTTTTAAAAAAAATTACAAGAATGATCACTGTGCAGGATTATTTACCAAGATAGAACCATTTACTGTTCAAGCTCAGAATTCGGTTCCCGGGGAACCGAATTCTGAGCATCAAAATGTAATTTTTTTTGTTTTTTCAACTCAGAATTCGGTTCCCGGGGAACCGAATTCTGAGTTGGTTTTAAATTTTTTTTTTTTCGCGTATGGGGCAAATGTGGGCTGATCTGGGAAGCGGAACGGCCCGTTCCAAAATCAGAACGGGCCGTTCTGCTTAAAAAAACATAGTGCAAATTCTGAATGTGCAAATTCTGTTTCTTTAAGCAGAACGGCCCGTTCTGCTTTTGGAACGGGCCGTTCCGCTTCCCAGATCAGCCCACATTTGCCCCATACACGAAAAAAAAAAAATTAAAAACCAACTCAGAATTCGGTTCCCCGGGAACCGAATTCTGAGCTTGAACAGTAAATGGTTCTATCTTGGTAAATAATCCTGCACAGTTATCATTCTTGTAATTTTTTAAAAAAAAAATATTATTTCAGAAAAAAATTCACAAAAACTCTAGAGTCTGAGGCCAATGATTGGGTGTTGAAATTGGCATTTTTTGCTGCGGTTTTCCCTTTCTATTATTCTCAACGGTTACTCAATTGCGCTCCTATCTGCGCTCTACCGCACTTTGCCATTTAAGCTTTTCTCTTTTTATGGTACCTTTTTTTTCTCATTTTTCTTAAGATTCGTAGAAATATAAATGCATTTATTAGCGGTGCCGTCCGTCAAAATGGTGGGGTTTCGTTGGTTAGGCCTTGAATGCCAATTTAAGACTATGAAACAAAATCCTTCATAAAAATGAAATATGTTGGCAGTGATAATAAATCAAGAAACTTGGCACTCAGATATAGTAATTGCAACGTTTCATTTTGGAAGCACACGTTTGTACTGCGAGAAATACTTCAACAATGTTGATGGCAGTTTTGGTTTTATTCCTTGCTTTTTTTAAAGAATGGGGGAAAGAAAAGATTGCTGCTTTAATTTAGAATTTTCGATTGTTAAAGCTGGGAAACCATAACTATATTACATTTTCTCTGTATGCATAAAAATAATGCTACTTTAATTAATTTATTTATTTTTGGTGAAATTGCTTTAATTTTTTTTATTTCTTATTTATATGACTAAAATGCAAAGAACTTCTTAGAAATTAAAGAATATAGTTCAGTTGGTTTAATAAAGGAAGTGAGTTATTGTAAATCTTTTTATTATTGAGTTTGATTTTAATAGATAAAAAATACATCTTAATCTATACTTATAAATAAATATTTTTTCACATGATAAAAAAAATTTCCTTTATATATTTTATGAAGACATTTAGAACTTGAAATATATAAAATTATAAAATAATAATAAATAAAAAAGAGCATAAAGCAAAAATGTCAAACAACAAGAAACTCAAAATTTCTCAAAGAAAAAAAATTCTTAAATTTGAGTTTTGTAAATAAAATCTTGAATTTTAAATATTTATGAACCTATATAATCAAATACCAGATTGAGTTTTGGTGTAGTTTAAATTCCAAATTTAATATCCACGCTTAGATTTTATTTTTATTTACTTTTTTTTTTAAGGATCCACACTTAGATTTGATCCTAGGAATGAGCACTCAACTATTCAAATCCAATATTTGATTGTTTTTACAACCGATTTCCAATATTTGATTAGTTATTTTCCTTCCTGGAACCGAAATTGCATATCTCCTCAAAAAAGCAAGATTATTAAACTCTACAAGTAACTAAAGCTAATTGCATTAACTAGGTATGACTAATGACTGTGTGATGGTATTTTACATTCATTATTATTTGATATGCCGGATGTTTTGATGTTTAAGTTTGTTTGTTCGTTTCTTTTGTTTTTTATAAACCTCTCTAGAAATACTTTTAAGAAAAATAAAATAATTTTTTTCATAAATTAAAATTAACTTATACATAAACTAATTCATAAAAAAAAAAAATTATTATTATTATTTTATTTTTTTAAATTATGTATAATTCTAATTAAAAAATATTTCATTTTCACTTTCTATTTTTCTTGTAAAAACACTGAAGAAGTTTATCCACGCAAAGTTTAAATTAGATAAATAGTTTATACCAAAATGCAAGCGCAAGTATATCTTACCATTTAAGCCCTCAATTGCATACATAGTGATTTTCATTCATGCAGAGAATGATGATAGATTAATACACCACTTCTATCTCTTCGTATGTTTAGTTCCTTTTGGATTAATTTACATAATGAATCCTGAAAAGCCACGCTTCCCTCGTTTTTTGTCACAATAAAAGGTGGAGGGAAGGGATATCTCTCAATAGTGACAAAATATAGACCCAGCATAGCCTTAAAAAATATAAAGCATGAGAGGAACTGAGTTTTTTGTAAACCACTAAATTTTAAGGGAAGTAAGAGGCTCAATTCTGTTTCTAGCCAAAAGTATAGCTAGAATATCTTCTGCTTCCTGTTTTGTCTCTGAACTATGCTGAAGGAAATAAAACATCTGCTACTACCAAAAATTGTTATTCATCACTAGAAGAGACTGGGAGTTGAGGCTTACTTAGCTTGTTTTTATGTGGTTTCTGGCTTTCTTTCACTTTAAAGATCTCAACAAGTGATAAATGCGATCTCTTCTTCTTTGAGTCTGACTCATTTGTTGTTTTTGCATCCAAGTCTATGTTGTAGTTGTTAGCTATGACCTGATGATTCTCAGATAATGTAGATTGTGATGGTGGACATGTGCTGTGTTCCTCCGTCTTCACATGCCTAGCCTGGTCTAAAGAACTTTGATTGGCACTGGTGATTTTCTTCCTATCATTTGTCAGCCATTTTCTGTTATTAATTTTGTTTTCTGGCAAAGAGTCCTTCGTCGAAGACAGATTAGCCTTCTGGCTTAACTTAACAAGCTTCTGGTGCTCTTCTTTATTTTCTTTGTATTCATGTTTCTCAAACAATTCATGGTTCCCTGAGACCATTTTCTTATCTGCAACTGCAATATTCTCAACCAATTTCCGTTTCTTGTTTTTTCCTTGCCTACTTTCTGAATTTGGTATTGATAAAAGTTGTCCTTCATCATTCATTGCCGCTAATTGATGGTTTACTAGATCTGAAAGTTGCGATTGACCAATTTCTTCGGTGCCCTCAGTCTTCAGTTGACATTGTCCAGCTTCAGAATCCTCCCCATCCACAACGATTCCACTATTCATAGTTTCAAGAATAATTTTGCCCAAAACAAATCCAGTCTCTGAAAGGTGCCCCATACCAAGCATGCCATAATTTATCTTTGAATTTTTTCTTCTTTCACTCTTATATAATTGAACATCACTAGCCAGCATTTTGAAAATCGCAGAAGCAAGTTTCCCTGCTTTCCTGGGTACAAATACCTGAAATCCAAAGATTCAGTTAGATTGGAGCTTTTGAATTACCACAAAATAACATCTTCAAATGGACATAATGATTGATTTACAGCGGGGTAAAATATGACATAATCAAACCTACGGGACATAATTGTTTTACAGAGGGATAAAAATTGACCCACACAATCTCTGATTAAGCATTATGATGGAATGATAATGCATATGCTACCACATGCATTTCCCAGGTTATCTGTGATTAAAAGCAAAGCAACTGTCTAAAAATAAAACCTTTGAACTGTAATCAGTAGTAGTACTGTAGTAGTGAGCTTCGAATCACATGAGCTATATTTATGAATTATGCTTGGTCAATTATAACTCTCTCCATATAATATCCATTTATTTAGTGACATCATATATCATATTTTATGGTTAGCCACATTGAAGTTCAATTTTCTTTAATTGTTTTTTTACAAGATATTAGAGCTACTTTATTTTCAGAGCCCAAAATGATTATAACAGTTAACAAGGTCTAGCCAGAAACAAGGAAGTATCATAAACCCTAACTATGACACGTTTGAATAGCCCGGTCAATTCGAGCAGAACATGATCCTGTTGCAACTTACCAAAATAGATTTACTTACCATGCCAGATCGTGGAAAAGATGGGTATCTAGACATGGACTGAAGAAGACTATTGTGCTCAACCAGAGCAGGTATGGAGTGCATCACCAAAGATGCCAATTTAGTGACTGCTTTTGCAATTTCTTCATCTGATTTATATATACTGGACGTCCTTATTTCAGGTACAAAATTAACACTCGTTTTTGCATGTTCTTTAGCAAATTTAACACCACTTTCCCATTCCCCGTGATATAGAACAGAAGCAAATGCCCACACCACTAGAGCATCTTGAGGATCATCTACTAATGCCAGGTGAAATGCTAGCAATCCAATCCTGTAACATATACAAATATACAATGGTGTCACAAACACATCACTTGGACAATATAAATTAACCAACTACATCCATCGAAGCCAAGTAAATTCCAGCTTCAATAGAAAATAAGTTTGAATAAACCAGTTATTCCCCCTCTCCACCTCCACCCTCAAAAACATGATTAAAATAAGTACATCATTGTTAGTTGTTTTTATTTGCCAAAGTAGAGGGCACTTTTCTAAAAAAACTTCTTGAATTGGGTCTTAATTTGCGAAGTCAGGTGCCAATTTGAAAGTTCTCACTTGGTAAGTTTCCATACGAAGACTCAATCCAATTAAGTCCTAGCGTCTACTAATTTCACCATATCCCCCTCTTTTTTATTTTAGATTCTAATTTCATTAGAATATTTTGTTCATTTCTATTATGAAAATGATGTGTAGTTTTAAACTATGATTTAAGTAAAAATAATAATTTTATAATATAAGTTGTGGTGAAATAGCGTGATTGAAATTGAATTGAATTGAAAGGGGATTAGTTGTGGGGATTAGTTGTGGTTGTTTGTGTTGTTTATTTGTTTTTGAAATGTGACCAATTCGAGAAAGGAATATTGCTTCCCTTTTCTACGGGGTTGACACACTAATGGATTTCCATATGGAATTGGAACCTCAAAGAAGATAGATAGTCCACTGGTGTCGTGTTTGACATATAATTTTTGCTTTTTAAGATAGATAAGTTATCTATGGAAATTTCCGTAGGTAACTTATCTACGGAAATTTCTGTAGGTAAGTTACCTCCGGAAATTTCCGTAGGTAACTTACCTACTGATGTGAATCTGATGGGAGCACTCAAAGGACTTGGAGGACCAATGACTAGGGTTTTCTTAGTGGGTGTTTTTAGTACTTGTAATTAGTAAATAAAGGCCTAAAACTCTTGTTAAAGTGGCTGCCAACTCTTGTTTGGGCTGCACCACTTATTGGGCTAGTTATTAGGCAAGTTGTTTTTAGTTAAATAAGGTCCAAAACCTTTGGGATGAATCAGCCATGAGGCATACCAAAGGGTGCACGAATTTAGCATGTGTTTTACAAATGAATCATGTGCCAGGAACCAGATTTGAACTGGTGACACGAGGATTTTCAGTCCTCTGCTCTACCAGCTGAGCTATCCCGACCATTCTTGACGCATAAGCCTCATCTTTTATTTTAAAAGATTACTAGAGTATATGTCAATGAATCTAAGTAAACTAAGTAAAAAAAGACAAAAAATTAAAAATTATAAGTAAGTTTCATTATTATAAGTAAGTTTCAGTAATAGTAATTATTTTGTATCGTTAATCATGCATATGAGGATTCCTTGCTCAAAAATAAGATATTCATTTTTTTTATTATCATAAAAAAAATTATACGTGTTTCACACAAATAATTACATATTTCAAAGATGCTCTATATATTCCAAAACTTGTGACTCCTAATTATGATAAGAAAAAGAAAAATTCCAATTTCTTTGTGAAAGAATAAATGGAATAAAACACATAAATAACGACTTAAAGACAGAGAGGATATAGGAAAAAGAATTTGAAAGTTAAAGAGGCCCTTTGGTTGGGGATAGAGGGACTTGAACCCTCACGATTTCTAAAGTCGACGGATTTTCCTCTTACTATAAATTTCATTGTTGTCAGTATTGACATGTAGAATAGGACTCTATCTTTATTCTCGTCTGATTGATCAGTTCTTCAAAGGATCTATCAGATTATGATGGAGTGAATGATTTGATCAATGAATATTCCATCTTTTCTTCAACTTTGAATTGATTTGATTCACATCTTTTCCATTTGTTAGAACAGCTTCCATTGAGTCTCTGCACCTATCCCTTTTTTATTATCACTTTTTAAACTTTTATTTCTTTTCGGAAAACAGGATTTGGCTCAGGATTGCCCATTGTGAATTCCAGGGTTTCTCTGAATTTGAAAGTTCTCACTTGGTAAGTTTCCATACCAAGACTCAATCCAATTAAGTCCGTAGCGTCTACCAATTTCGCCATATCCCCCTCTTTTTTATTTGAGATTCGAATTTCATTAGAATATTTTGTTCATTTCTATTATGAAAATGATGCGGGAACTTTTGAATTCATTAAATACAAATTCTTTCTTATATTGAAAAATCTTTGCTCCTTTCTTTTTTATTGATTTTATTTCATCTATGTTGGATACCATCATTTGGTTGAATCTGAAATGATTCTATTATCTCTGTATTCACAATTCAATATACACAGATATATACCATATATCTATCTAAAAATTGCATGAATTGTCTGTTACACAGATAGTTTCAAGAACGTAAATGTCTACAATATATGGTATTAAACACCTAAAACTCAGCTACACAGCAAAAGTATCTAATGTTTGAAAATTAGATACAATACTAATTCCTCAATTCTATAAAGACTAGCTAGGAGAAAAGACACCATACAAGTTGCAAGCAAAGTTTCAGAAGTTAGCCCTGCTTCTTTATACAAGTTTAAATGTCCCATTAGATATTTGCTATTGCTCAAGCCAACATCCTAAAATTGTCTATACAACCCTGGTTGAAGGAAATTAATCCTAAAATCTTGATTAGATTTTTTTTCTCTCTCTTTTTTTGTGGTTGGAGAGTGTAACAAATAGAACTAACAATCACTCACCATAGAGTGCAATCACAAGGTCGATCGCATGCTACCAGATTATCCAGATGAAAGAATAATTTCTGCAAAAGTAACAACGGAACCATAAGTGAAAGCAGAAATGTTTGATAACAATGTACACTTGTTATGATTGTGACTAAGGACACTTGTTTGAGTAGGTGGAAATGAAGAGGCAAGAATAATAAGTATTTGGACACAATAAAGACTCCATACCTTGCCATTTTTTTTAAAATTAATTTCATCTAGACTTCATTGTGTCCATACTCCCAATTTTTTGCCCCAGTCAAACAAGCATACCTAAGAATATGTGAGAATGCTTTTCATAGTCGTACTACATTTCTTAATGTTTGATTAACATCGTATAACCTACTATCCAATTTATCTTTAGTTTTAAAAAGAAATAATCTAATCCAGTTATCAGAAAAGTAGTAACAATATTCTTCTATGCCCCCTAGCGTTCAAGTTTTCTATGTGGAATTTCAGTTAGTTATGCATGCAAATAATTCCAGGATTACTCAATCAAGTTCACTGATCAATTTTGAATGACAACATGTCTTTCATTATTAAAACCAATATTTATCTATACACGTCAAAGCATTCAAATACTGATCCAGTTGACACTGAACTACCAACTTATTGTAACATATTCCTTCAGCTTGTAATGACTTTAGCATTTGCATCCACTGAATCAAAATAATATCATAAAAAGCTTGTTGTACAATTATTTTACTAATCTAACTTACCATCAACATATTGGAAGCCTGGGCATCTTCTTTAATAGCTTGTTCATCAAGATATGCTGCCTATAACCAATTAATTAGTAAAAATCGTATTTGGCTGATAGGCATATTATTAAAAATACAAAAAGCAGCAACTCAAATCCACTTACATGTACAGGAAGTAAAAATTCAAGCAATTTGAATTTCCAAAGTAGACGTAGAGATGGTTCACCAGCTCCATAAGACAGCATGTAGTTCAATTCAATCATAATTTTATTCTGAGATATATTAAAAAAAAAAAAAAAAAAAAGAAACAA